AGTCTAAATTTTGTTGTGAAAGTACCTTTATCTTCATGGAGGAATACATAAAGGTATATCTATGTTCTGCATTGATACATGTATCGATACATTTATTTCCTTTTTATTTATCGCTATGGAAGAATCGATTGCGATATAAGGGTAGTTATTTGACGTCGTTTGTTATTACTTTATTTGCATATTTCATTATTGATTATCGGAAGCAATTTAATTCAGTTTACGTGACTCTGCTGATCGAATGAATGCAAATCGGTGTATCTGTGACTACGCTAATTTATGTTGTAACAATTTATCATTATTTATTATCTTTTTTTTACATTTTATCTTATTCGTTTGTAATATATAAATTTTGCAGTAATTAAACAGTTAATTCGGTCGTAAATAAATTAACCGTTACGAAAAATATTGGAAACAGTGATGTAAAAATCATTTACGAGGATCATTTGTATTTATAAATTTTCTTCTGGACGAGAATCGTACCAAGTCACGTTTTGTCCATAAAAATTGCTATAGCAAAGGGAGAAACTCTAAGCTGAGCCATGAAAAAGATAGTCTACCGTGAAACGTGAATATTCGGTGGAATAAGCAAAAACATTGCAATCACTTCTATTCAGAGATTGCTTTTTGAAAAAGTCACGTTTTACATGGCGTTTCGTCTATCAAAATGCCGTGGCGAAAGGGTGAAATCCTAAGCCCAAATATAAAACAATCGACTGTAAAAAGCAAGTACTCAAAAGAATAACCAAAAACACAGCAGTAATTTCTATCCACAATTTCCTTTGAAAAGGAAAAGAAAGAAAAAAAATTCACACATTGTTTTGTCTATTAAAATTATCCTAGTGATGAGGATAATCATAAAGAATAATCATGTATCGTAGACATACTAATATCAATATTCTGTATTACTATACAGTATTACCATTATATTATATAGTATCGTATTCAGTATTGTATCACATGATTCCATATTGCAATTTTTGGTCATTAATTATATAACGATATAACGTTGCTAAGAAAGAAAACACAGATGCAGCTTAAATTATTCATATTATGTTAATAAACATCACGCGATAAAATATATTAAGTAATATATAATAATAGAATAATAGCTGCATAAATACCTTGCTAAAAGTAAGAGAAAAGCAGGTATTCGTGATATAATTGAAGATACAATACCACGCATAACCCCGTATGATACCCTCCGATACATAACCTCACAATGCATCAGTCCTACTCCATATTCCACCAAAGATTTTCTTTTATGCATCGAGGTTTCTATACCAAGGGATTGAATCCTTAGCTGAAAGACAAAAAGAATAACCTGTAAGGAAAGCAAATACCTGGGAAGAACGAAAAATGCGGCGCTCATTTCTTACCGCGAATTTTTCTCCGTGAAAGGTAACCGTTCCGCGCGACGTTTCCGTCCATCAAAGTCTAGATGCCCGCATTAATCGCGACACTCGGATGCGCGCGCTGAGTGCGGCTACGGTGGTGGGGGGTAAGGTGCCATGCGTGTAATTCAACGCGAAGCCCGGCCAACGAAATACTTGGCTGGAATTAGTAATTAAGTGCTCGAGACAATTCCGGAAGCGAGTCACCGTGACGGTCTGTAATTGCCGGACACTACGGGGATTTCAATTCGGCCGCGCGGCACCGAGGATTTGCATACTTTGTGTTTTGTATGCGACGCGCATACTATCCTGCAACGGGTATTACGAAATTCGGTCGCGAGGCGAATCTCTCTCTCTGTTCGTCCCTGTCGCCCCACCATTGCCCGCCGCTGCGTCTCCCTTCCACTCTCAAATGTCGTTATAAACGAGTTACGTCCGTTCCCTTGGACGTCGTTATGAGTTC